GGTCACCGGCTCCGCCATCCCTCGGCACCGCAAAGACGCGACCCACGCCGACATCGGCGCACACCGAGAACAAAGCCCGCTCTTTCTCTCTCTTCGCCGCAAGAGAAAGTGCACGCGACGCACACCAGTCGCCTCCGCCCTTTTTTTGCTCTCGCTCTCTCCTGGCCGGCGAAAGAAAGTATCACGACAGCCAACCCCCAAAATGTCGTACACACCCCCAGGGGGTACGGCTCCGATCGTCATCGTCATCGCCCTCTCCTGGCCCGCGGGAAGCATCGCCATCCCCACACCGACACCGAGCCCGACGCCCGCGCTCTCTCGACGCCCGCAAGCAAGGCCGTTGTCGCCACCGCTCTTCCCCCTGCCGCCGTCCCGCTCCACGGCTCCTCCAAAACGTCCAGGGAAAAAAAACTCCCTCCTTCCATCTCCACGCAGAACCGCAAAAGAACGCCAAAAAACGGCTCCCCTCCCCCCCCAAGAAAAAAAAAATCATAAAGAGAGAAGAAACGCACCGCCTCATCACTCGGCATAACCGGCGGCGCGAAAAAGTTGAAGAACGACGCGGTCGGGTGCGACTTGCGGATGAGCCGCGTGCGGTTCGTGTCTGTCGATACGTGTCAGCGTGTCAAGTTAAAAAGAGGAAGTTGGAGGGAGGGGAAAATCCAAAAAAACGAGACACCCACTCTTATTCCGCTGCTTCTTGATCTCCCACTCGCGCGTCAGGTCCTTCTCCTCCTGCCACGCAATGTCGCTCCCCACTGCGTGGTCGTACACAAAGTCGCCGCTGTAGCCGACCTGTCACGCGAAGCGGGTTAGCGTGGTGTAAGAAGCATGTGAACAAAAGATGTAGTAGAAGGAGGGGAGGGAGGGAGGGGAGGGGTGGGAGGGAGCAAAGGGAGGGAGCGAGGGGATGGGAGGGAGCGGTGGGGAGGGAGGGAGCGGTGGGGAGGAGGGAGGGAGGCAAAGGAGGGGAAGAGAGGGGAGGGAGGGAGGGGAGGGGTGGGAGGGAGCAAAGGGAGGGAGCGAGGGGATGGGAGGGAGCGGTGGGGAGGGAGGGAGCGGTGGGGAGGAGGGAGGGAGGCAAAGGAGGGGAAGAGAGGGGAGGGCAGGAGGGAGGGAGGGGAGGGGAAGGGGAAGGGAACGAAAGGAGGTGCGGCGAGGACACGAGCGTATGGCGGGGTGCGACAGAAGGAAGAAGATGGGTGAGAGGCTGGGAGTGGGGCAGAAGCGAGAGGAGCGGGACACAAGGGAGAGGGAGGGACACGAGGAAGAGGGAGGGAGAGGGTAGTAGCGAAGTGTATGGGGAGCGAGCAAGGCAAAGGTGCGAGGAAGGAAGCGAGCAGATTCTAGCCCACTCAAAGAAGGGCAAGCAAAGGAGGGAAGGAGTAAGGACAGCGACACCCACCTCCTCCTGGTAAACATAAGTCTTGCTGAGCGTCGGATTAGTGAAAAACGGGTTCTTCTCCGCGTCCCAGTGGAACGTAAGCGCAAAGCCCGGCTTGCCCGCAAACTCGCCTATACACCCTCATCAGCCCTGTGATATCTTCCCCTCAAAAAAGAACGCAAGCAAGAAAGGACGCACCCTCCTCGCCCTTGAGCGGCAAATACGACAAGGTGACATCCGTCAAGAACGCCAGCGCCTCCGCATCGCGCTCGGTGATGAGCTCCGCGAGGCCGGGGTGGTTGCGCAGCGCGGTGAGCCAGAAGTCGGGGATGCCCTTGACGTCCGCGCCCTCCTCCCCGGCGGCAGCAGAAGTGTCCTTGGCGGGCAGGGGCGCGTAGTCCTCGTCGTCCTTGAGGGACTGGGCCTCGCCCGCGGCGATCTCGTCGGCGGACGCGGGGGTGGCTCCGGCGATGATGGCGTGGCGGCGTGCGTAGAGCGGCTTTTGCAGTTCTAGGTACTAAGTGGGGAAGGGTTAGTTAGTTGACGTATTGGGGCGGGGAAGAATAGGGAGAAGTTGGGGTCGTCGTGGCCGTCGTTGTCGACGACACCTTGTGACCGAGTGGCAACGCGCATCGCGATCGATCGACTCCACTCCCCCGCCTCGCGCACCCCACGAGGCCACTCGCCTCCCCAAACAATCCAATCCAATCGCCCCACCCCAAAAAAATCGCACAAGCAAAGCCACCCACCTTCCTCTCAAGCTCCAAGCACTCCCTCTTGTACTGATTCTGCAGCTCGATCTGCTGCACCTGCACGCCCTTCAGGCCCTCGACGTTGCGCTTGACCGCCTGAGGCAGCGCCTCGATGTACCCGCTGCTGCGGCCGACGAGCCCCGCGAGCTTCCCGTGGACCATCCCGAGCATCGCGCTCTGCACGCCCGCCGCGCCGAGGGTGGTGATCTCCTCGGCCGCCTCCGCCTCTTCCGAGATGTCCGGGACCGTGGGCCGCGAGAGCCCCGACGAGATGGGCGCGTGCTGTGCGGGCGTGTTTTGCGGTGTCGGCGCGGTCTTGCCCGCAGAGGAGATGGGGACAGAGGAGGACATGGTCAATGTAGTACTGAGTCGAGAGAGCACAAGACAACAACAACTGCAAATTTTTGGGGCGGAGATGGCGGAGTTTCAATTACCGGTCCGGGTTCCGGTGACTCGGTTCTAGTTCAACCTCGTGCGGCTCGTAAAAAACCTCAGTGCCACGGTGGGTCCAAGCGACTGCGCTTGTGTTCTCGGGGAAAAAATCCAACACAGACAACAAATGACCTGGGCCTGAATCGAACAAGCAGATTTCCACAGAGCGCAAGGGAAAATTACGAATTTCTTATGGATGCGGACCACCCGCCACCGAGTCGATATTTACTATGTCGGACGGCTGACAAAGTGTCATTCAATCGAGACAGGTCCAAGAAGAAAAAAAGCACAGAGCTTTGGTCATTATGACCCGGGCCTGAATTGAACAGACAGAATCTTCGTATCGAAAAAACCATAAACTTTTTGTGGACGCGGACCACCCGCCACCGAGTCGGTACCATGTATAAAGCTAGGTTGAATAAACGTCTTTCAATTGAGACGTACGTACAAAGAAAAAATTTACAGATCTCTGTCAAGACTCGAGCCTGAATCGAACAGACACCTTCCACACAAACGATGCTTGCTCAGAATTCATCGTGGATGCGGACCACCCGCCACCGAGTCGGTACTATGTCTGAGGCGGGGTTGAATAATTGTCTTTCGACGGGGGCCAAGTTGAAGAGGAGTAATCGGTGCAGAAATAAAACCACGACCCGGGCCTGAATCGAACAAGCACCTTCCACAGAAATTTTGCATCGAAAAAAGCAATCAATTTCTTGTGGACGCGGACCACCCGCCACCGAGTCGGTACATTGGCTACACTCAGGTTGAGTACGTTGAGTAACTGTCCTTCGACAAAGGCAGGTTGAGAGCAAAAACTGCAACATTACGATCAACCAATGACCCAGGCCTCAATCGAACAGGCATCTTCCACAGACAGTCAATTTTTTGTGGATGCGCACCACCCGCTACAGAGTCGCTACATTGGTTGGAGCGAGGTTGAATAAACATCTTTCAAATGAGGCAGGTTGGACGTGGGGAAAGAACGTCCCAGTTATCTTCAACATGACTCGGGTCTGAATCGAACAGCCTCTTCCACGTAAACAACGCGAAGAGGACCGATTTGTTGTGGATGCGGACCATCCGCTACCGAGTCGATACTTTGTTCAAAACAGTCTTGGATAGACGTCTTTCAATTCAGGCGTACGTAGAAAGAAAAATGCAACATTCTGCAGTTCAAATACATGACTCGGGCCTGGATCGAACAGGCACCTTCCACATAACCGTCAACGCAAGATACTTGATTTGCCGTGGACGCGGAGCACCCGCTACCGAGTCGTCACGTTGGTTGAATCTGGGTAGAATAAACCTCTTTCAATTCAGGCAGTTGAAGGAATAAGATACGCAAAGTCCAAGCTATGACCCGGGCCTGATTCGAACAGACACCTTCCACATAAACGACCAAAACGAGTAATTATTTTTGGATGCGGACCACCCGCCACCGAGTCGTTAAGTAGTCCAAAGCTGGGTTGAATAAATGTCTTCCGACGGAGGCCAAGTTGAAGAGGAAAAATCGGTGCAGAAATAAAACCATGACTCGAGCCTGAATCGAACAGGCAAGTTCCACATAAACAATATGAACGGGGACGATTTGCTGTGGATGCGGACCACCCCCCACCGAGTCGTAATCTTGGTCGGAGCTGGGTTGGATAACTGTCTTTCAATTGGACAAGTTGAAGAGATCTAGAGGAAACAAAAACGCAAACTCTGATATGTCCCAGGCCTGAATCGAACAGGCACCTTCCACAGTAGGCAAGCAGACTTTACGAATCTGTTGTGGACGCGGACCACCCGCCACCGAGTCGATATCTTGCGTACAGCTGGGCTGAATAGCTGTTGTTCAAAAGTTGAGCTGGGAGAATAAAAATGTAATCCATCATTCCATTACATGACTCGAGCCTGATTCGAACAGACACCTTCCACACACCCTGGTACTGAGCGAATGATTTGTTGTGGACGCGGACCACCCGCCACCGAGCCAGTGCCCCGCCTACATCTGGGTTGAATAAATGCCTTCTGATTGAGGCAGGTTGGAGGGATCAAAAACCGTACGAGTCTGATCCATGACCCGGGCCTGAATCGAACAGGCACCTTTCCACTCCACAGAGCACAAGAAAAGATTACGAATCAATTGTGAACGCGGACCACCCGCCACCGAGTCGATACACTGCCTAAATCTGGGTGGAATAAATGTCTTTCGACGAAGGAGTAAAAAGGAGTAAAAAGAGTGTATCGCACCATTATCATGCCATGACCGGGGCCTGAATCGAACAGACACCTTCCACTGAAGCGATGAAAACTCTAGGAAATTCATTGTGGACGCGGACCACCCGCCACCAGGTCGGTAGTACCTTGCTGACGGCTGGGCTGAATAAATGTCTTTGGACGAAGGATTTGACAGGAATGAAAAAACTTGCACCGTCACCAACCTATGACCCGGGCCTGAATCGAACAGGCCCCTTCCACATGAACCATGTACAGAACAAACCAGTTATTGTGGACGCGGACCATCCGCCACCGAGTCGGTATAATGGCGGAAGCTGGGTTGAATAACTGTCCTTCAACGGGCCTGATTTGAACAGGCACACTTCCACATACATTAATTTCTGTAGACGCGGGCCACCCGCCACCGAGTCAGTAAATGGTCTGAAGCACGGTCATAGTTAGAAACCTTGGTCGATGGAGGTAAGTAATTTCACTACGGCATCCAACAATGACCCGGGCCTGATTCGAACAGGCACCTCCCACAGAAGATGTTGCACCTCCTCCAACTTTTGTGGACGCGGATCATCCGCTACCGAGTCGGTACCATGTATAAAGCTAGGTTGAATAACCGTCTTTCATCAGAGGCTGAAAAGGAAAAATTGGTGCTGCAGCTGAAATCAAACCATGACCCGGGCCTGAATCGAACAGGCCCCTTCCACATGAACCATGTACAGAACAAACCAGTTACTGTGGACGCGGACCACCTGCCAACGAGTCGTTGATCTGGTTGAAGCTGGGTTGAATACCTGTTTGTCAATTGAGACAAGATGAAGACAGAGAAAAAGCACTAGAGCCAAGCCATGACCCGTGCCTGAATCGAACAGGCACTTTTCCACAGAAGCTAGCACTGAAAGAAAATGCAAATTTGCTGTGAACGCGGACCACCCGCCACCGAGTCGATACTTCGTCCAAAGCAGGGTTGAACAAATGTCTTTCAATCGAGGCAGATTGACGAGAGGGAGAAAAAGCTGCAGTTCAACAAACGATGACCCGGGCCTGAATCGAACAGGCCCCTTCCACATGAACCATGTACAGAACAAACCAGTTACTGTGGACGCGGACCATCCGCCACCGAGTCCGTACTCTGCCTAAAGCTAGGTTGAATAACTGTGCTTCAAAGGTTGAGAGCTGAGAGAATAAAAATGCAATGCTGACCCGGGCCTGAATCGAACAGACACTTCCACATCGAACCACGTACACAACAAGCATTTACTGTGGACGCGGACCACCCGCCACCGAGTCGGTACCTTGCTTACAACTGGGTTGAATAGATGTCTTTCAATCGAGGCAAGTTGGAGGAATAAAAAAACCGCTGGGACTCAAGCCATGACCCGGGCCTGAATCGAACAGGCTCTTCCACAGAATGCAGCGTGGTCTCAAAACGAACTGATCATGGACGCGGACCACCCGCCACCGAGTCTCTAACTGGTGTAAATCTGGGTTGAATAACTGTCTTTCGGTTGAGGCAGGTTGAGCGGATAAAAAGAACCTCGCATCGTCGAACCCATGACCCGAGCCTGAATTGAACAAGCACCTTCCACGTAAGCGAGTGAGAAACACAAAATCTGCTGTGGATGCGGACCACCCGCCACCGAGTCGGTATCCTCCCTGAAACTGCGTTAAATAACTTCTTTCAATAGAGGCGAGAAGAGGGAGAAAAAAGCACAAGATACCAATAAATATGACTCGAGCTTGAATTGAACAGGCACTTCTATAAACCATCTAAAGCTCTGACTCAGATATTGTGGACGCAGACCACCCGCCACAGAGTCAGGAGCAGGTCTAGAATAAACGTCTTTCAACAGAGGCGAGGCAACTTGAACAGGAAAAATCGGTGCTGAAATCAAACCATGACTCGAGCCTGAATCGAACAGGCGTTCCACAGAAGCTACGCGTTGAACTAAGTGCAAATTTGCTGTGGATGCGGGACCACCCGCCGCCGAGCCTGAATCATTGCTGAAGTCTGGTTGAACAAACCTGTCTTCAAACGACGGCCAATTGAGCGGGGATGGTTGAGATCCACAACTACGTGTGAGGCGTATACGACCAGGCTACACCTCCTGCACCTCTCCCTCGCCTCCCTCCTTCTCATCCACCACCACCTCCGAATCCTTCCCCTCTTTCACAATCCGTATATTCTTCACCAACAACGCCGCCACGAGCGACAGCGCCGCCACCGGCACGCCCAGCACATACACGATGCGCAGACTCTCCACATACGCCCTCCGCACGCCGGGGATAAGCGCCGCGGGCAGCTGGGTGTATATCGCCGTGGGCGAGTCGCGCACGAGCGCAAGGGGGGCGTCGGGTGCGTAGCGTGCGAGGAGGCGCGTGAGGGAGGAGGAGAAGACGGCTTCGGCGACGCTGAGGCCGATCATGCCGCCGAGGAACTGTGAAGAAAAAGGAGGTGGTGAGTAAGAATATGGAAGTGAGGGCACGTACCTGGCCGAAAGAAGCGACGCTCTGCGCTTGGGCGAAGAGTTTCGGCTCGTCTTTGAATTCCACTCTAGATAAATTTACATGCATCAGGTTATTATGACACCGGCGTGACATTGACACGGAAGGAGGTATCGAGACTTACTGGATAGCGACAATTGAATTCTGCATCCCGAACCCCGTGCTCGCGCCAACAAGGATCTGAAAGCCAACGAGCTTCGCGGCGGAGGTCGTCAGCCCTGTCGTGTATAGCAGGCCCGAGCCGACGCCCAGGAAGAACGGCGCCGCTACGAGGAATGGGTAGCTTCAAGTTCCATCGAGTAGTTGCAGTTAGTGAAGAGGAAGGAAGAACTTGAACTCGCACGCACTAGTACCCAAACTTGCTAACCAGCCCGCCGGAGACGATGAGTATGACTATTCCCGCGACGAGCATGGGGAGGATGTCGATGCCGGACTTGGTGGCGCTGTGCTGCCGCACGACTTGGTACAGAATTGGGAGGTACTGGGGCGCATGGTCAGCGTCACGGTGATAAGAAAACCGATTTGCGTCGCGTACGTAGGAGAACAGAAGCTGGGTGAACCTGTTGAGGAACCCGAACGCGATGATGGCGTAGCTGTTGGAAATTTGCCCAGTTAGTTCGGTGAAGGAGGTATCTATTGGAGAATAATGTTGGAGAGAAGGAATGCGACCCACATTGAACGCGACTTGAAGATCTTGAGCGGCGCCATTGCGCGGTCACCGAGGTATCTTTCCCAAAGCACAAAGACGATCGCTATTAACCCCGCGAGCACAAGTGTCTGCGATAGTATATCAGTATGGGGGACAGTTCAATCGTGACGGAATTGACGGACGATAATGACGGCCTTGTCGCCCCAGGCCTTGGTATTCCCGCCCCACTGCAGCCCGAGTCCGAGAGCGGTAACAGCCCCGGCTACGAGCACCGCACCGACCCAGTCGATATCGCGCACTTGATGCCGCAAATCCCGCCGTGAGCGCTTGGTGGGATCCGAGCCCAGAGGGGGCACCGCGTTGAGGATGAGGGTGATGACAACCATGGCTGCCCCGCCGATCGGGAGGTTGACTGCGATGTCGGATGTGAGGCGCGGAGTCGGTGCGGGAAACGGCATTGAACGTACTGAAGAAGCACCAGCGCTTATAATTAATTGTATGTCAGGCATGCGTCGGGTCGAACAAATAGGGAAACGCACCCAAGTGACCTAGAAAATCCCTCAGTATGGCAATAAAAAGAGTAAAATCAACCGTACGTGATCGGTCAGCGCTCCGCCAATTAACGGGCCAATGATGGATGCGACGACGAAGACCCCGCCGGCCATGCCCATGTACTTGGGACGATCTTGGAGCCGCGTGGCTTGTGAGATGACCTGGAGCATGGCCACGAACATCCCTGCGGCGCCCACGCCGCTCACGGTCCGCCCTGCGATGAGAGCGCCCATGTTCTGCGCGATCCCACATACGAGCGAGCCAATCTCGAACGCGAAGATGTTGGACAGCATGACCCATTTCGCGGGGAATATGCGCAGCACTTGGCCAAAGAAGAGGAGGAAAACACTGGGAGGGATGTTAGATGTCAGTGGACCAAGAGGACATGAGCATCAGTGGACGCGCCTTTGAGCCAACACAAACGAGGTTGCGACCCAGGCTTGCAGATAAAAGGAATTGAGGTCCTATCATAAAAGGTTTAGTTGACGCCCACGGCTGGCAAAACAACTCATACAGAGGCGATCCTCGGCAACGCCGTGGCTAACACATTCTGCCGTTTGAGAGGTGAGCAGTAGCGCAATTAAAAACGAACCTAGGATTGTCTGATCCAGGGCCACCAGTAATATGGTCAGCAAACTTGACGAGGGTTAGCCCGTACTCTTTGATTGAACCAAATCGACGGCAGCGTACATGGCGATAAAGACCACCGCCAGCCGCTTCCCCGATAATAAGGTGCTCGGTGCGGCGGCGTTTTCCATTTGGGCTTCGTTCTTCATGTTAGGGCGTGGAAGAACACATCAGTCGCATATCTGATAGCCAGATTATAAAGTACGGAAGATCCAAAAGGCAGAAAACGTCTGCCGAGCAAAATCGTCACTGTGGCAGGAATCTTCTGTAATAGCGAGCGACATTCGAACCGGTAGTCAACCGGTCGTCAATGGGCGCGTGTTCATCATTGATTCAGCACCGCTAACCACAAGCTTGGCGAAAGGCGCAGCCGTGCAGGTGTTAAAACTGAATGCAGAGGTCAAGTGGGACGCAGAACGGCATCAGGCGCGGATCCTTTCAATGTCATTCTTGCTTACGTTCCCCACCTTTGCGAAACCAAGTTTGATGGCAATCTTATGCCTGTATGTACCTCTCGCGAGATGGCACCCGGCATCGATAGACACCATCAAGGATAATTCTATTTGGAAACCCGGTTTCCGACAGAAACCCTTCCCGTTAAGGAAATCTTGTGGAAACCCGCACAAAACGCTAACTGGAAACCCACTTACGGCAAAGTTTGCGCTTAGGGGACTTTCAAGGCCGCACATGATGCCGAGGGTGTGCATTTGACGTGCTGTTGAGGTGATCATGCTTTGGCACATACATACTGCCTTCCATATCCCTCACAGGCCAGTTCGTGGTCGCCGGATGGCTCGGCTGTTCATTCCCGGTTCAAGCCGAATGCCGACTGGCGCCGGAGTCACAACATCCACCGGAACAACACATGAGGCGGGTATATATTGTTCAACAGCCTCAGGCAAGGTCCTATCAATTTCTTGTCCTGTATCTGGCGATACACCATCTATGGAGGCTCTGAAATCCAATTCTTTTGG